AAGGTCGAGTTCGAGCTCGATGGACCAGACTCGAGCTCGAAGACAGAGTGCAATACTCGAAGATTGAAGCACGATGAATACCGAAGCCGAGTATGCTCGACCCCGAAATAATGCCGTTATGTACTTGTAACAGAATGAGCGAGATTCTTGCCACGTCCTCAAAATCATGGCGCAAATCCCGAAAGAGAATTGTACGATTCCGTACTAGACGGTTAGACAGAAGTCCCAATAAGATTCCTTACTGTAAATGGAAATGTACCTTATTTTGGGCTCCCCTATTATATAAAGGAGACCCCAATCATTTGTAAAGATCATCTAATCATTGGCAAACAATATACTCTCTACTTTTCGCTCATTATTCATCAGAATTGTCCTTTAACGTTATTGTTCTTGGTTTATTGTTCTTGATTCATCTCAAGGTCACTGATCTCGAGGTCGATACTGCTTAAGTAACACTAGTTTGAATCACTTATTTCTTTCATTTGTATTTTACACTTCTTGATTATTAATTGGTATTGAACTGAATCACATATGTTTAAAACCACAAATCAAATTTAATAGTTACTCGTATATTCGAGGTAAACAGCCACTATTTTGCTGTAACACGGAATGTTCAGCATAATATACTGGAGATCGGTGCACCTGTGTATGAACTTCCAGCATATTATGCTAGAACTCGAATACACGAAAAGTTCCAGTATATTATGCTGGACCGGTATATTATACTGGAACTCCAGTATATTATATTGGAGTAGTTTTCCAAATTTTGAACAGTGTTTTCATTCAGATTTATCTTTACATGAAAAGTGGCTAAATTTCTATTACTTTTGAAACTATGGCTATTTTTGAATGATCACTTGTAAATATGGCTATTTTTGAATTTCTTTCAATTATTTTTAACTAGGATTTATCCATCATTTTCTTATTTAATTGACTTAATAAAAGGTATTATACTTTTTGGTCAAACAGTAGAATAGTAGAGAAGTCCACTGTCTTAGAGCATTCCCTAGATCCTAATCCAACACTTCCTAAATCAAAGGGAAGATAAATCATAATCCCTTTTTCTTCTTTAACAAAACTTTGTTTCTTGTGCCCTATGGGAAACAAACACATTGCTTGATGAAAAATCAAATAAGCGGTATTTTTTGCTCTTCCTACCTAATTAAACAAGTACTTCTTTATATGTCGTAAATTAAAGATGAGAATACATATCGATCAAACAGACATTTGAAATCTATCGTTCCATGACTTCATGAGTTCAAATTATAATATAATGGCGAGTTCTTAAAAACATGAATAAACATGTCGTAAAACAGAAAAAATATTTGGAAGAAATAATTTTATTCTATTAGTCTAGGGCCCAAGAATAGTCCAATTCTCTAACATTCAAAACTGTGGATGAACCCAAGGTTTCTAGTGTTCAAATTAGGGCTTACAGGACAAAATAAAAATAGAAAAATCACAAATTTCATGTGAGCCACTATCTATTTGTCGTAGTATTAATATTCAAACATTAAAAATTTGTTTTATTTGAGACACTCGTAATACTGAAACTTTGGAGAGACTGTAAACTGATGAATAGTACTCCTGTATATTTGTCGATATTAATATTTAACAAAGAAGTGTAACGTAGGATCTAATCTGAGTGTCAATCTTATTCATGAGAAAGCTAAAAAAAATTGTTAATTACAAGATACCGTCCTAGATTTTCGATGCAGGCATAATTTCCTTTCTATTAAAGATTTGATTATTCGGCGCATGCCACACGACAAGTGAAGATAAATTGTCTCTACTTTTTCTTCAATTACTTGGTTATTTCAACCCGATAATTTGATTAATGATATCATAAAATTTTAACCTATGGTTAAAGTTTTGATGGTGACTAAGTGATATTTTATTCCAAATTAATGAAATTTAAGCGTGGTTAGGTAAAGCGAATAGTTGAATATTAACTGTGTTTACCTCGAAAATACGAGTAACAATTAAATTTGATTTGTGGTTTTAAAGATACGTGATTTAGTTCAACACCAATTAATAATCAAGAAGTATGAAGTAGAAATGAAAGAGAAAAGTGAATCAAACCAATGTTACTCAGCAGCAGTGACCTCGAGGTAGGCTTGGAATAATAAGAACAATTAAATAATAAAAGCAAAGTAAGAACAATAGAGCTAAAGGACAATGCTGATAAACAGTATGCAAAAAAAGATAGAGAGTATATTCTTTTCTCAGTGATAAGATTATCTTACAAATGATTGGGATCCCCTTTATATAATAGGGGAACCCTAAATAAGGAATATTTCTATTTACAGTAGGGAATATTCTTGATACAGCCATCTAACCGCCTAGTACGGAATCGTACAACTTATTTCGGGATTTGTGCCACGATTACGGGGACGTGACAGGAATCTAGCTCATTTTGTTATAAATTCCTAACGGTAATATTTCAGGGTCGAGTATACTCGGGCCTGGTATTCCTCGTACTCCTATCTCCGGGCATTGCGCTCTATCTTCGAGCTTGATTTTGGTCCACTGATCTCGAACTCGACCTCACCCAAACTCGGGCCTATGACGGACCCTCGAGCCTACAAATCGGAGGCATATGATTTTGAACGTATACAGATAGTCCCCACGTTTCTTTGAATAAGGTGATAAGAAACGGTTTGCACCTCGATTTTCCCGAGCTTCTTATGATGACGTCATGCCCGTGACGTAGGTGATTGAAGTGACCGGAAATGTCACGTCGGCGCTATTCCCCAAAACATCAAATGCGTGCCAGTGCTGGTCGGCCACTAGCGTTGCCGAACCGCCGTCGCCTTTCTATAAATATGAGGCTACTCTGTTGAACAAAGAACTGTACGCATTTCATCTTCATTCACTCTAATTATTTCCCTTCTTTACTTCTTTCTCTAATCATCTGTTTCCATGGTTCGAACCTGCGATCACAAGGCCGCATGGCAGCAACATTACCAGTTACGCCAAGGCTCTCCTTTTCAAAGCTTCGATTCGAAACAACGAGAGAAGAGAGTAGAACCCTTCCCGCATCAGAAAATATGCAAACTTCACCTTGCTGCTCATCTCTCTTAACTTCAACCTGGTGTGGCACTTCATTACTTTTGCTTTCCATAGAATGAGGTGGCATTATCATCTACTAACTTTGGCATCCTACACCGGCACAACGTCCCAAGAATGAACATTCTTGGATCGTTGCTCGTGCATCTTACAACCTTTTTGGTTTTTCTTGTGATAGTAGGTGAAGCTACATCTTCTTGTCTTCCCTTCTGGTCTTTTTCTTTTGCTGCTTTTTTACAACGGATTATGGTCCAAAATTTCAACAGAATGTTCAATCCCCGCTGCTAGAAATATAGTTACATTTATCGAGGATTTTCTACCTTAAATCTCTTCGGGCGCACAGACATTTCCAAAGATCAAAATGGGGTCTCCGGGAAGGAGGTTCCCGAAGATGATGCTCTCGAGGACGTGGCCTTAAAAGTAGATTAGGTTCTTGGGTTTTGTTTTTTGCTTCTTTGTTCCTGTATAAGTACCCTTCATGGATGTTGTAGTTATATTTTGTAACCATCTCTTGGAAATACAAAAGGATCTCTTTGTCTCCTTTTTGGCTTGTGTTGAATTCCATTCCGTCTTTACTTGTGAAAAATTTGATTGTACATCTTTTGTGACTAGTCCAAATACCGGACTTAGGATATAATAAGCCCTCAGGTTTTAAATTGATCAAAATAATACCCCTTAAGGTATTTGCTAATCCTCAAGCTAAGCTTAAATTATTTTGATGCGAGTCCGGGACATCGGGACTCCTGAGTCCGAGTTGAGCGAGAGCAAGGTCTCGAATTTGAATGAAGTTAGCCCTTAGGCTTTGTAGATAATCAGCGAATGAGAATTTTTTCAAATTCGGGTAACCTTTGGGCTTAGTAGTCAAGTGAGCACTTGCTCAAACTCGAGATAAAGTTATCCCTTAGGCTTTTTTATAGTCCCCGGGTGAGAATTTTCTCAGACTCGGGTAGCCCTTGGGCTTAGTAGTCGAGTGAACATTTTTCTCGAACTCGAAATAAGTCGATAAGAAACGAATTAATCTTCGATGCCTCGATCCCGATGCCAATCTCGTGACGTCAGCGGCTGAAGTGACTGAAAGGTCGCTTTTCGTGTGGTTCCCAAAGTCATTAATCGGAGGCGACTGACGGTCGGCTTTTTGGCTTCCTCAGTACGCTTAATGACCTCTATAAATAGATAAACTTCACAATCTTGCAAACTTTATTCTTATATTGTTCTCAAAGTTTCGTTAGCTCTTTCAATTTCTCTGAATTCTCCCTTCTCTTCTATTAGCTCTTACTTCATTGTCAACATTCTCCATTTTCTTGAATTTCCACATTATAATGGCTAAGACCTCTAAATCGATTCCCCAAAAAGAAAAAGCTTCTTCATCTTCTCGACCGACCAAGAGTAAACCGGTAGTGCCCCCTCGTATTGAGGAGTGCATTCCTCTGCTATGCGAAATAACATCTGATTTCAAGACCGAGAAACCTGTATCGGCACCAGGCCGATGCGAGCCCATGTCTCGATATGTCAGTTTGATAACCAAGGACGAGCTCATGCAAGTTAAGGAAGACTGCAAGTGGGAGAACAAAGAAGTAGTGATCCCTTCCCCCGAGGAGGATATCACTACATATAAAGTGGGGTACTTAAGCGTGTATACCTACCCATTCACGCTGGGCCCTGCAATTCCAACTCAGGGTCCCAGAGATCTAGTTATGCTCAACTTTTGCCAATAATACCGAGTGATTCTTGGCCAGATCTACCCTTCATTCTGGTGAATCGTTCATTTGATTAGGTTCTTTTCGAGTCAGGTCGAGGGGATGCCTTTCACCCTCGACCATCTGATCAGATTGTACAGTCCTCGACTTTATTGCGGTGGCTTGATAAAACTGCAACGCCGATCCTTGAAATCTCTCTTCTACAGTATTGATGAGGACAAAGACTGAGGGTGGATGAGCCGGTTTGTCCGAGTCAGGACCTCCGACCTGATTCCTGCTGAATGGATGTCGTTCCATGAGGAGTGGAACATGAAACGTAAGTACATAGTAGGTTTATACCCTGCCTTCTCTTCTTTTTCTCGATTTTATCTTTTCCCTTTGTCTAACCCCTTTCCGATGGCGCAGCTACTCCCTTGTTTCCTGGTGGGGTCCCGGACCTTGAAGGCTGGGTCCGAAAACTAGCTTCCACTTCCTCTTATTCGGAGCGTTGGTGACGAGATTTAGCTAAAGGCCGATGGGAGGCCAAATATCATGGTGAGTTCTCTTGTTTGTTTACTTGTATTTCTTTAGTGGAATACTTACTTTGGTTTTTGTGCAGGTCTTGGAGACGTCGTTGCTATGCGGCCGGCCCCGGCTGGTGAAGAAGAGACCGCGAAGCCTTCTAAAGAAAAGAAAAGAAAAAGGGAGTCACCTGCAAATCCCTCGATGCCTAAGATAAGTGCAGCTCGAAAGTCCAAGGCCGATACGGTGGCTTTATCTCCGGAAATGGCCCAACGCCTTCGGGATCAGGAGGAAGAAGAAGATGACAACTGCCTGTTGGTAGATCGTAAAAGAGGAAACGTCGGTGCTTTGAAGTCCGTCGAGCCGGTGATGGTTGATGTGGTTCATTCCAAAGCTGGAGAAATCTCCGAAGGGGGTTCAAACAAAGTCCCCGAGCCATCGGGTAGAAAAAAGGCACCTCGCCTAGGAGGCCATTAGGAGGGCGAGGCCAAGGGGCCCGATCTTGAGCCTCTTCAAATAAAAGAGAATGCCCCGACTGGATCACTTGGGTTAATCAATGTGGATGACTCACCGCCTGGTCCCGAGTTCGCCGAGGGGCAAATCTGAGATGCTCAGAACATGAGATCTTCTGAAGTGGGGGTGAGCCACGAAGGGCATGACATCTTTTGAGAATGCCTTGCAGGGTTTGAAGATGGCCACGACCCATATGCTTCTTTCATCTTTGATGAGGCTCGTCGACTCTTCAAACAAGCGAGTTTTCTATCCTTTAGAATTATGCCTGCGTTTTGCTTTGTTGTTCTGAATCTAACTTTCCCTCTTTTCTATGAAGGTTGTGGTGCTCCATAAAAGGGCATTTTCCAAGTCTCGATCTGATCTTGCTCGATGCGAGGCTGAGTTTAAGAAGATCAAGGAAGAGATGGACAGTCTTAAAACCCTCTATGTCAAGAAGGAGGAGGAAATCAGCGATCTTCGAGCCGAATTGGCAAAGGCTTGTCAACAATGAATCAATATTACCGAAGGGGTAATATTCCCTCTGAATTTTTTTCAGGGACCAACCCGTTCGGTCTTCTAACAATTTTATTTTGTAGTTTCAGCGAAAGGGCGAACTGGTGGAGCAGCTTCGAGAGGAGCTCAAGATGAAGGAGGCCGAAACCCTGGGCTGGAGGCAAGGCATGGACAATCTTGTTTCAGAGAAAGAAAACCTTCGGGAGCAGCTGGCTTCACTCGAACGTCAGTTCCAAAGCGTGAAGAAGGAGGGCCTGGCTCGAGGCCGCGAAATTTAGAGGCTCAAGGCTAAATTTGTTGCTGAGCTGGCTAAGGCCGAATCTGATGCTGAGGCAATTATGTCCTCGTACCGAGCCAACGCTGAAGCAGCTAATGCACGGGCCCAGGAGATCTCCATTGCGACTGAAGTTAAGTTATCATGTGCACTCGACCATGCTAGGTGACAATCCCGAAGGGAAACCCTCGAGGAAGTACATGCTCGCGGCTTCGATCTCTCAGCCGATATAGAAAAGGCGAAGGCCTTGGAAGAAGAGGTTGCTGCTTTGCTTTCCGATGAGCACGATTCAGCCAGTGGCTCCGAGAGTGGAGGAGACGAAGATGGAGTCCCCGAGGGTGAGGACCCCGAAGATACTGCTCCTGAAGATGCAGCTGCCGAGGATATGGCCCCAAAGTAGATTTAGGTTTCCTTATTCGCAAGTATCCCTTGTGTAGATATCTTTTGTAATCACCTTTTGGAAATACAGAGGAACTTTTTGACTTGTGTTGGATTTCATTTTGTCTTGGATTTCATTTTGTCTTTATTTGTAGAATACTTTGATTGCGTAACCTGAATGGTTGGCCCAAGAATTGGTTCGGACTCGGGACATAATAAACCCTTGGGTCTTTATCGATAGATATAATAATCCTTAAGTTTAAATCAAACCGATGCGAGCTCGGGGTATTGTGACTCTTGAGTCCGCGTCGAGTGAGAGCGAAATCTCGAACCATATGTTTTTGGCCCTTAAGCCTTTCGAAGTTGTCCCTTTAGGCTCTTATACATCGCGCCTTAGGCTCTTTGAGTTGGCCCTTAGGCTCTTATATATCGGCCCTTAGGCTCTTTAAGTTGTGCCGTTTTGGCCTCTAAAATGGCTATAATTTTTCCATCTTTTCGGCTAAAAATCTTAGTAAAAATTTTTTGTATGCCTTAGGATGTGATTTTTATACCCGTTTGGGTTTTTTGAAGATTCGACGTACCGGAACCTTATTAGTAATTTGTTTGTGTAAACATCACCGAATACCTCTTGAGGTTTTTCCGAAGGCCTATGTTATCGAAGCCTTCGGATCATTCGAGGGCTGAATTTATCGAAGCCCTTAGATTTTTCGAGGGCTGAATTTATCGAAGCCCTTCATATTTTTCTTTTGCCGATGGTAGCCTGATTTAACTGGTTTTTCAATGTTTGATGGCCTTTAATTTATAGCGGATATCGAACATCTCCAAGCTGAATTACTTAGGCCATAGCCTTTTTATATGATCGTAGTCTTTAATATGGCCCTAGCCTTCGGGTATGTCACTTGGACTTGTTTCCCGATAACTTTTCGAACTTGTTTGAAAAGTTAGTCCCCGAGTATATTGGCCTTGGCCTTTGTTTCGAGGGGATGCCTCTTTGAGGTCTTATGGGTCCAAGTTATTGATTACTCAGATGTATTGACTGTCGATGACAATCCCCGAGTATTCAGGGGTGCTTTTATGCTTTGGCTCTTGAGCCGTCTCCCCTAGGATTATAAGTGTAGAGCTCGTATAATAGTAGACTTTTTTGAGACACAAAGTGTTTTTGATATAAACAGAATGCTTCTTCAAGTAATGCATACATGTTTTGCTGTTGGGGATCGACTATTCTATATGGACAAGGTTCATCTAACCGTTTGGCCCATTACAAAGTTTTCCTACCGAGGCCCTCTTAGGCGTGAAGTATTTTCCTTGAAAATATAACCTCCGGGGGGTGATGCCCCCCATTATTTGATGTTGATTGAAAAGAGCCTTGGATACTGTTGAATTCTCCTTAGGTAGCACATAATTGTTGCCTCATTGAAAACCTTGCCGGTAAAACCCATTTGGGACAAAATCCGATCTAAGGAAAAAAGAGTGCAACGCATGCTTTAAAACCTGAGGCCTTCATGTAAAAAGTGGTGTCTCCGAGATCGCGTACCTTCGATAGCTTCGATCGAAAGTATGGAATAAGTTAGTTTTAAACTTAAATAGACAAAGGAAATGTCATACCTTAGCAGTAGTATTGTTTGAGTAATGATATGTTCCAATCAGTTGTTAACATAAGTTTGTAAGATCCTTTACCGGCAACTCCAAGGACTCGGTACAGCTCTTCCAAATTCGGGCCTAGTTTCCCCTTATTAGGGTCTCGAGTATTGAGGGTGACCTTTCGTAGAACTAAGTCCCCGATTCCAAAGTGTCGAAGGTTGGTCCTTTGCTTCTGTAAGGACATCCAAACAAGCACTGCCTCTCGCTTTTCATCTAATACCTCGAAGCTCGCATTCATGGCCTCGTGATTTGATTCCTCCGACGCGTGTCGAAACCTGGTTGGGTTCTCCGACTTCGACGGGGGTGAGGACCTCAGAGATGCCTAACTCAGAAGCCACATTTCTCTGGGTTAAGCTTCATGTAGTATTTCCTCAAAATTGCAATGTTTCCTGCAAGCGAACTAAGCGGTCCTCTGAGCTCAGGGACTTAACCAACATATCGTCAATATAGACTACCATTGTTTTTCCTATTTGTTCTTTGAACATTTTGTTAACTAGGCGTTGATATGTAGCTCCTGCATTCTTTAGCCCGGAGGGCACTACATTGTATCAATGGAATCGTGGACAACCGTGGCATCGATCGTACGACCGATATTTGGCAAGGGGAAAAGATCTTTTGGACATGCTTTGTTCAAGTTATCTACGCACATTCTAAGTTTGTTTCCTTTTTTTAGGAACTACAATTACGTTGGTTAACCGCTCGGGGTACTTTACCTCCCGAATAGATCCTATTTTTAGAAGTTTGGTTACCTCATTTTTTACGGAAGCATGCTTTATCTCGGACTGAGGCCTCCTTTTTTGCTCCACCCGTTTGATCCTGGGATGCTTAGCCGACGCGTGGTGGTGGAATCCTTATCATATCTGTTGCTCCGACTCCATCGAGGCTGGAGGCGGTGATTGCTTATTTGATCGCCTGCTTATCTTTGGTGCTCGATTTTTTCGAGGTTAAAGGTTCCGGTATCGGCACCACTTCCTCAATTGCAAACATCTCTTTTGCAGCATGTTGCTCTCCATAGACTGTTTTCACTCCTTCCTCTGTTGGGAACTTCATCATTTGGTGGAGAGTTGAAGGCACTGCCCTCATGTTGTGTATCCATGGTCTCCCAGGGAGTGCGTTGTACCTCATGTCACTTTCGATGACATGGAACTTGGTGTCTTATATGATCCTGGCAACATTTACTGGCAAGATAGTCTCTCCTTTTGTTGTTTCGCTCACCATGTTGAAGCCATTGAGGACCCGGTATGCAGGTACAATCTGATCTTGTAAGCCGAGTTGCTCCACGACCCTCAATCTGAACATATTCGCCGAGCTACCTGGATCTACTAAAACACGTTTAACTTGAATTTTATTTAAAAGGTTAGAGATTACTAGGGCATCGTTGTGGGGCTGAGATAAGCCTTCTGCTTCTTCGTCGCAGAATGATAGGATGTCCTCGGGCACATAGCTCCGAGTCTATTTTTCTCTCGTGATCGACACCTCGGTGCGTTTGAACACAGGTCGTTGAGGGACATCGACTCCTCCAATGATCATGTGGATTATATTTTGTGGTTCTTCTTGCTCATTTCTCCTTGCATCTCTCTCCTTGAAGTGATTCTTAGCCCGATCACTTAGGAATTCTCGAAGGTGGCCCTCATTGAACACCGAGCCACTTCTTCCCTTAGCTGCCTACAATCTTTTATTCTATGACCATGTGTGCCATGATACTTGCACATCAAGTTCGGGTTCCTTTGAGAAGGATCGGTCTATATAGATTTGGGCCACTTGGTGTCTTTGATTCTCCCAATAGCTGAGACAGTCCCCGACGCGTCTACGCTGAAGTTGTATTCTGATAATCGAGGAGCCTCGACGGGGTTGGTATGCTTATCGAACCCACTCTTACTCGTGAGTCCCCGAGAACCTTGGCTTCGATCTTTTCTCCGATTGTTCCGAGGAGTGTTCCGACCCGAGCCGTTGCTCCTTAGATCGGCATACGGCTTATACCATTCTTTGTTGAATCTCGAATCACGGTCTGTGTCCCTCAGGGGCTTGGCTGTGAATCTGTTAGGATGAACTAAACCCAAGGGGGCTCCCAACTGGTCGTCCTCGACCCTGATTTTTGATTGGTAACGATTGTGCACATCCGACCATGTCACAGCTAGATACTCGATTAAGTTCTATTTTAATTGTCGAGACGCAATCGAGCTTCTTTCATTCAAACCCTGCATGAAAGCTTGTACTGCCCAGTCATCGGAGACTGGTGGTAATTCAATTCTTTCTATCTGAAACCTGGACACGAACTCCCTTAGCATCTCGTCGTTCCTTTGTTTTATTTTGAAGACATCCGATTTTCTTGTGGCCACCTTTATGTCCCCAGCGTGCTCTTTCACAAAGACATCTGCTAACATAGAAAATGAGTCAATAGAGTTAGGAGCTAGGTTATGATACCAAATCATAGCTCCTTTTGACAACGTTTCTCCAAACTTTTTTAACAAGACTAATTCGATCTCATCGTCATTCAAATCATTTCCTTTGATTCCGCAAGTGTATGAAGTAATATGTTCATTGGGGTCGGTCGTTCCATTATACTTGGGTATATCGGGCATGCGAAATTTTTTGGGAATGGCCATCGGAACCGCTATGGGAATGGTTTTTTTATGAATTTTTTGGCATCCAATCCTTTCTAAACTGGAGGTGCCCCTGGTATCTGGTTTACACGGGAGTTATAAGTCTCCACCTTCTTATCATTGTCTTCAATTTTCTTTTCTCCGGACTCGATCCTCTTAGTGAGCTCTTCGAGCATCTTCATAATTGTAGGGTCAGTCCCCGAGCCGTTTTCATTTGTCCTTTCTGGCGTTGGCCCAGCACGTCGATTGTTTCCATGTTCAGCTACGCTCGGAGTTTTATTTTGACTTTGGAGTTGAGCGATAGCCATTTGCTGAGACTGCAGCATCTCGAATATCACTTGGAGGCTGACTCCCCCATCTTCTACTCCTGGTGTTCCTTGGTCCCCTGGTCGGGCTTCCCTACGTTCATTTCCTACGGGTCTGCGCCTGAATCCACGTTTAGAGCATTATGTGAGCTAATATCAACTGGCTCCATATTTGGCACTTCCTCAGGGTTTATTGGTAGTACACCGACCCCTATACTGTTATTTTCTCCAAGACCTTCGTTGTCATGAACCGGTGCATTTTGTGTGCTGGACATGTTTCATCCTAAGAATCAAAAAATCTTGACAAGAAAAAGTGTAAAAAAACAACGTGTGTAACGAGAATCGGTAAAGAAATAATCACTATTATCTTTAGCTCCACGGTGGGCGCCAAACTGTTTACCTCGAAAATACGAGTAACAGTTAAATTTGATTTGTGGTTTTAAAGATACGTGATTTAGTTCAATACCAATTAG